GATACATAGGACATCTTATGCTTTACTTATTTATTTATTCTTTGCAGGGAATCACTTTTGAGCTTGATGATGAGATGGTTGCAGATGATGATGACAGAGAGGCTTTACAAGATATCATCAACAATACTAAATTAAGTGAAAGTTATCTCACCCTTGCTCGTGATATTGAGGTTATGGAGCCTAAATCTCCAGAAGATATCTATAAGGTTTGGACTTCAAAACTTGCTAAACATTTTTGATGTAGTAGTTACGACCTGGTGCTGTATGTAATGGCTGGGTGGGACCCCCTTCCTATTTTACTTCTGTTTTTTCCTAACTGGATGTGTAGTGCTTGAATTCATCTCAGCTTTTATAGTGAGATTCTTTTTGATATTGCCTATGTTGGATAATTTTCTTCATGAAATTGATGACTTCCATCATCCATGCTTGGGTTTTGCCAGGCTCACTTGCTTGATGGCCGTGCCAGTGCTGGTGCAAGCGTTGATTCAGCTAGACAGAACTTGGCTGCGACATTCGTCAATGCATTTGTAAATGCAGGTTTTGGCCAGGATAAGCTAATGACGGCACCAGCAGACTCTTCAATTGGTGGTTCGACTGGAAATTGGCTTTTCAAAAACAAAGAACATGGGAAGACCAGTGCTGCAGCAAGTCTGGTAAGTTTACCTATTAAATTTTGCTCCAATGTTTGTATGCATAAGTTTGTATTCAGTTTCTATTTGGAATCTATTTTAAATATATATTCACCTTCCCACATAACAGGGCATGATTCTGTTGTGGGATGTCGACTCTGGGCTTGCTCAGATTGACAAATATTTCCATAGCAATGATAACCATGTGATTGCTGGAGCATTATTAGGAGTTGGGATTGTCAACTGTGGTGTTAAGAATGATTGCGATCCTGTGAGCTTCTTTTCTCCTCTGCATCTCTTAGTTCATGCACGGTGTATAATATTTGCCTTATGTTTGTCTTATTTTCTTTTATCAGGCACTGGCTCTATTGAGTGAATACATAAGTAAAGAAGATTCTTCAGTTCGAATTGGTGCAATTATTGGTTTGGGAATTGCATATGCTGGTGCTCAAAACGAGCAGGTGTACATCTCTTTTTGTCCTGTCAATGAACCTTGTAGTTCATGGTATTTGCAATTATATTCTATGTGATGATGCAATTATGGTGTTTACCAATGTTAATTGACAGATCCGTAGCAGCTTGACTCCCATACTTAATGATGCAAAAGCTCCCCTTGATGTGATAGCATTTACTGCTATTTCATTGGGTTTGATATATGTGGGGTCCTGCAATGAGGAGGTTGCACAGGCTATTATATTTGCTTTGATGGACCGAAGTGAGTCAGAATTGGGCGAGCCTCTCACTCGGCTTTTGCCTCTTGCTCTTGGTCTTCTATACCTGGGTAAGCAGGTAAATAACTTTTTGGTCTTTTAGCATATGGTTAATTACATATTCTTTTGGTCCTAGATTGTGTATCTTTTAATTCAATATGAGAAAGAGTAGTCTGATATATGCAATTTTGCAATGCTTCATCCCGACTTGTTTTGCAAACATTTTAACAGGAAAATGTGGAAGCCACTGCAGAGGTCTCAAAAACGTTTAATGAAAAAATAAGAAAGTATTGTGACATGACATTACTTTCTTGTGCTTATGCTGGAACTGGGAATGTTCTAAAGGTAAGCTCTTGATTCATAAATATTCTTGTGCAAATTCGAATTGGCATGAATATTAACTGAACTTTTTGATATGCAGGTCCAAAACCTTCTAGGTCATTGTGCTCAGCATCTTGAAAAGGGTGAAACTCACCAGGGTCCAGCTGTGCTTGGAATCGCCATGGTAGCAATGGCTGAAGAATTGGGTCTTGAGATGTCAGTTCGTTCACTAGAGCATCTTTTGCAGTATGGTGAGCAGAATATTCGACGGGCGGTTCCATTGGCTCTTGGTCTTCTTTGTATATCAAACCCAAAGGTAAATTATTCTAATAGAATAGTGCTGAACAACATAGTTTGGTCATTTTCAAGGGATTTAAAGACCTTTTTTTCTTCATTATAGCAAATGAGCTATATGGTATTTAATTGATTCATATGGCATATTGAACTAAAACTGAGGAGCCGACTATGATTAATGACCCTGTTCTTGAACCAAAGTTTCTTAAGATCAAGAAATATTAGTTAAGGAAGCTGCAGAGTTAGGCTTGCTATAATTTTTAGCTCTCTTGTTATCTCATTGGTTGCACATACATATTATCCAGGTTAATGTGATGGACACTTTAAGCAGGCTGAGTCATGATTCAGATTCAGAAGTTGCTATGGTAAGATGATTTGATTGAAAGGTGTTTCTTGGATGTCGTTTTTACCATCAGCTTGACTCAAATGTTTGTATGGATGCTATAGTCTGCAGTTATCTCCTTGGGTTTAATAGGTGCTGGAACCAATAATGCTCGCATAGCTGGCATGCTTCGCAATCTTTCCAGTTATTACTACAAAGATGCCAGCCTTCTATTCTGTGTATGTTTTTCTTTGTACTCGTCTTCATGGTTTCTTTCATGATGCCATTTGTTCTGTTCAACAACTAAGGTTCGGTTGCTTGTCCAGGTGCGGATTGCTCAAGGTTTAGTACATTTGGGGAAGGGTCTATTGACTCTTAATCCGTATCATTCTGACCGCTTTTTGCTCTCACCGTAAGTGGAGCTTCACAAAATCATGTACTTGATTATCCATCTTGGTTCACCTTACAAAAATTTCTTTCTTTTGACCACTTCAGGACTGCACTTGCTGGTTTGGTTACAATGCTGCATGCATGTCTCGATATGAAAGCTATGGTACTGGGGAAATACCATTACGTTCTCTACTTCATTGTTTTGGCAATGCAGGTCCGTAGTCGGTTTTGGTCGTGCTACTTACTTTCCGGCCGTATATGTATTTGTCATTTTCGAATAATGTTTCCTATATTTTACAGCCAAGGATGTTGATGACTGTCGATGAAAACCTCAAACCTCTGTCGGTCCCCGTCCGGGTGGGTCAAGCTGTCGATGTTGTTGGGCAAGCTGGTCGACCCAAGACTATCACCGGATTCCAAACCCATTCCACTCCGGTTCTTCTTGCCGCCGGTGATAGAGCAGAACTGGCTACCGAGAAGTAAGTTACCCCTTTAGTCGTACGGATGTTGCAGGATTTAATCGACTCGAATTTGGCTAAGGATCTCCCTTCTTTTTGCAGGTATATCCCCCTCTCACCCATTCTGGAGGGTCACGTTATTTTGAAAGAGAATCCCGAGTATAGGGAGGATAGTTAAAAAAGCTAGAATTTGGTTGCTGCTTCCATGGTTTTTGTTTGTAATGTAACTCGAAAGTAGCATGTACTTCAAAATCTTTTAATTAATTACAACTTTCGGCGAGAACTTTTTTATTGGGTAAACTATACGGTGATCACTTAATTATTATCTTTTTTTTATTTTGACTATCGATGTTTCAATTTGATCAATCAGACTATCCAACTATTAAAATGATTCAATCAAGTAGTTGTTAACTTTTGACGGAAGAGGTGACAAGATAGTTAAAAGAATTGATATAATTTTACATTTAGTCTTTGATATTTATGCATTCAATTTATCATAATTTAATTAAATTAAAATAAATTTAATAGATGGACTAATCAGTATGCGAACTCTGGATGTTGATACTGACATATATCACCTTCGGTCCATACAAAAAGTTTAATGATTATCTTTTAAAATTTGAAAGTTTAGTGATTAAAATGATAAATAGATCATAGTTTAATGATTTTGGTGTATTTTATCCACATATTTGTAAAAGAAATGACCTGAGAAACGGTTCAACAGTGTAAATCAGCTGTTAAATAAATTATAAATGATAAATTAAGAAAATTCAACGATTGAAGTTTGTGCATTTATAAGCAATGAAATAAATTTATAATATTTGATGATTGATAAATTAAAGCGAATGGATTAACCTCGTAATAAGAGAGATTTTTATAGGTAATAAAGTAAAGTGAATAATTTTTTATTGGTTGATAATGAATTGTATGTTATTTAAGTAAAATTGAGATGAATTGTATTTTTTTAAATAAAATCAAAAGTTTAATTTTGTTATTTCTTATAACTAATCCCTATAATAATATGATTTAGATTAATTAAAAATGAATCATAATTTTTTTATTTATGGCTTAATATAAAATTTTAATTATTCAATTTTGTTGGATTCGAATGGATAGTAGATGGGTACAATTCTATGGATTTCATACCGCGTTCGCTCCAATTGGGGTAGAGATGTGTACAATTTTAGTGGTTAGTGAGCGGGTGTGGATGTAAAAAGTCATACCCGTTGTGGGTAGTGGGTAGTGGTTAGGTGATGGGTTTGAGATCTTACCTGCCCCGCATCCGCCTGTCCATTAACTACCCACCATATAAATTTTGGATCATTATGAATTTTAGGTATAATTTTATAGACTATCATGTAAATTTTAAAATTTTGTAGGACATTACTTGCAATTTAATCATATATTAGGGTATAAACATTTTATTATGATGGACGTGTTTGTTTTGTGTTTTGTTGTTTATGTAATATGTGAGGTTGTTGTCAGAAGGGTATAAGCGGTTACAGACGGGTATGAGCGGGTACATGCATATATGGAATGGACGGTGAGTATCTAATTAGGTAATAGATATAGGGTGTATTTGATAATGTACTCACGTAGGAGGATGTGGATTTAAAATTTTTATCCGTCGTAAATAATGAATAAGTGATAGATACATAAATATTAGATGAATATAAAGATAAAAAAAGAGATATGCACCCATCCCGCTGGTTTGTCATCCCTAGATTCGATGTTTATGACGAAAGACATTGATAAGGTCAAAGATATAATTTACTTTTGGGCCTTGGGCCCTCTTTTATTCACCCCATTTCCCGCTTATTCGATTCAATCCGAAAAAGGGTTTTAGAAGGAAAAGGGAAAGGTGGAATGTCTGATTTTTGGTAATTCAAATACAATCTCTTCTTTCTGATATTCCAATGGCATCATTTGCCGCCACAGTAGCCGGCAGATCGGTTTTCCGATCAAGCTCCGTTCGCAAAGCTGCGGCTCGGCTCGCTCCCCAAGCTAAAGCCAAAGCCGCTCCTGCTCCCCTTGGTCTCTCGTCCAGGACCCCTCTCTCGAACCGCATTTTCAGGTCTCTCATTCATCTTCATCTGCTAAATCATCATAACATTTTCCATTTTAAATAGTAAAATATTGTTCATAGAAAGTTTTTTTTTTTGTTGTTGTTTAAGGTGTCCAGTTGAGGCGAGTTTCTGCGTGGAATCGATGCTACCCTATCACTCAGCGACTGCTTCAGCTTTGATGACATCGATGCTCTCCATTTCTCGCAGCAGCTATGTTTGGCTCCCAGAAGGTATTAATTACTTTGAAGTTCAATCTTATTAGATTGTTTGCTTTCTGGGTTGACTATTATTTGAGCTTCCACGAACGATTTTGCTCTTCATTTTGAGCTCATTGTTTGCTTCTTTGGCCTTGTTTTCGGAGGATTCATTTTGATTTTGACACATTATGGCCTCATAATCTGTAGTTTTAAGAAACCATTTTGTAGAATTTGGGTATAATTTGAGGGTTGAAACAAATAATTGGAAGGATTGGTATGAAAACTTGGTATTAAAACATAAGTTCTCCTTTGCTTTGTTGTTTTCCCTAAAGAAGTTTCTTTTTGTCAGTCTTGTCGGTTTTGATTTCTGGTAAATTAGCATCTCAGGGTATTTTCTTAGATTTTTCCTAGAAAAGCAAAAAGAACTTGATTTTGAGTTGTTAGCCGATGTACCGGATACGAAAGTGAGTGCGAGTATTTGTCCGACACGATTATGCTTAAACTTTTAAAGGTGGGATCATACTTTCATATTTGTGTCTTTATATTTGTCGGATGCGAGTAGTTTCAAAAAAATGAAGAGTTCGAGTTATATAGACCTTAGCCTTTGTTTTAATGTGATTGAGTCATGCGTTTGATCTCATCAAAGATTGAGACAACATTTTATTAACTTCTCTACCGGTCTCAGTATTTTGAAAAAAAAATAGGGCCCATTCTTATGCTGTCGTATAGGCCAAGACAATACTAGATGAAGATCAAGAAGCGAGGTTGGAATAACTCGGACTTGTTTACATATTTAAGCTTCTGACCTAGGGCTTGCATTATCTTTTCAATAGATATATTAAGCTTATTATTTCAAGTGTTTTAAGGCATTCAATTGAATGCTTCCTTATAAAGTTGATAACAAATTACATATATTTTATTTTACCTGCTTTGTCAAATTTATGTAAGAAGCTTATCAGTTCTTTACCTTGTTGGCCTTATTTTTGTTATGAGAGATAAGAATGATATAACCGTTTGCATCTTCGTAATTTTGTGTCATGTTATGTGTGACCCTACATGTAAATGAATGCTATTCGTGGATGTCTTCACATGTTTACTATTCTTCGTATATTTGTGTTATGTGCAACACTACGTATTCGTGAATACTATTCTTGGAGTTCTTCATATGCTTACTACATACCATCTTAGCAAAACTTCCTTTGCCCTAGTATATCTTGGTCAAATAGCTAAAACCTATGTTACTTCAACTCTTCATTTTCCTTGAAGTGCCAAACTTGTATTCAAACACAGTTATATACGAGTATGATCCTCCAAATATATTGAAAAACTTAGTCATGTACCTATAGGCTAGAACAACACTTATCCTTTATCTAAATTGCCTTGATACGGTTTCTATTTAGTTCTATAGTTAAAAATCGCCTAGGAAGTTGCTTCAACCGAGCAACTAACTTGAGAGAGGTTATATAAATGATGACCTCTGGTATGCTTTCATTCTGTAAACCAAATGATTTGTAAACTCATGCATATCAAGATTGCATCTTTTGCATTGCAAAGTTTCGGATCTGTCGTTTCAAGAACCTTGTTGCTCTGTTTTCATCTAAATGTTCAAATGCATTCAATAAGGACCTTACCAATTATTTTTATTCAATCAGCTTGCAATGATGATGTGTGATCAATCTTGTTGAGAGGATCGGAGCACGTACTGCACACGATTCACCGTTCTAAGGGATGTCTGCCGGTGCTATAGAAAATTACGGTGAGCTGATGGACTCAGTTAAATTGTTTTGAAGTTTGTGAACTAATTTAGAATTTGGGTCATGGTTAGAGGACGTGTATGCAATTAATTCAAATCAATATAAATGAAATGTCATCCCAATATGACCTCAATATACATTGCTTGATCTTTTAATGCCCAAGATTTATGTAAAGAAGGAAACCAAAAAGATATATAAATTTAAAAGAAGTATATTATCTTTATCTTTTACCTTTGGCAAATTATGTATTTAGTCACTCAGCATTTTTGTTTTTGTTTTCATCACTTAACTTTTGAAATTCATACTCGCCTGTTAAGGGCCAGTTTGGTATTACTTTTGAAAAATGACATGAAAGGTGTTGTAAAAAAGTACTTTTAAAAGTGTTATTGAAAAGTGAAATTTAAAAGTTGATCATTTGATATAGCTGTTAAAAAATGAATTGAAAAGATAAAATATCTATTTTGGACACTATGTTGTAAATTGAAAATATAGTATTTGAGTTATATTTACACTTATTCATAATAAATTTGAAATAAACTTAAAATAAAATGATTGTATACTCAACATAATATTATATGAAATATATAGTATTTTGTATTCAATGAAAATAATTAAAATTAAATAATTTGAACATTAATAAAAAATAAAAAATAAGTATACATGTATGTGTATTAATCTTAAAATTAATTAAAATTAAATAATTAAGAATAAAATATAATTTCACTCCAAAAGTATTGTCCAAGCTAAAAATTTTAGCTTTTGCTGTTGGGTTGAAAATCACTTTTTCAACCCTGATTTTAAATTAAATTTTTCGTGTTTAGCCTTGTTTATGTGTCTAACTCTGCTTACATTTTATTGGTAAATTTATGCAAAAAGCCTATAAAATTTTCCTTTCCCCAAAAGTTTTAAATCCTTTCTATCTATTCATAGCGTTGAAATATTTTATTATTTAAATTTGAACAGTCGAAAGACGGAGAATGAGAAAAATAATATATCTTGATTCTACGATAATTAGATGTCGAAGATCGCAGATCAAGATAAAGATGAAGCTTTATATGTCGGAGATTGCAGATGAAGCTTTAATTAGAATTTTGTTGAATTTTAGGTAATTTGAAGGAAAATCAAATTAAGAAAAAGAAAGAGCGGAGAATAGATAACATTTTAGTACCGAATACTTCGCAAGTAATCGTGAATGACTGACTATTAAATGACGGTGAAGAATGTCGACCATATTAAAAAGGATAAAATATTAAGTTAATTTTATAAATAAAAACAATATGAAACGTAGTGTTTTGATACTGGTATTAAATAATTGATAATAGGGTAAGAAAATTAAATGATCAAAATAAAAATAAAATAAAAGTTAAACGTGTAATTTATCTTTTATATTTCTAATGGCTTTGTCACATGTAAGGCAATTTATATAAACCTATTCATAAAAAAAATTCTATTGCAATGAATAAAAAATATACTAATTGAGAAATTTAGTGATTAAACATAGTGTTATTCTACTAACAGGGATGGTTCAAGTGATAAGCAACTTGATATCGTTTAAGCAATGTTTCGAGTTTGAGTTATATATGCAAAAAATCCCTGAGATACTCACTCATCAAAATCAGATGTACGACGCGAGTCGACTTGGAACAGTCAAGGTAAACCTTTGGAATCAGGAGGACAAAAAAATTATTCTTTTTTGAGATCTTGGAATAATTAAAAAAAATTATGAATATTTATTATCTTATTTAAATATTAGCCGAATCATTGGGCCACCCGGCCCATAGACCAGTGTATAGAGAGTCCGAAAGACCTGCTTCCCCAAAATTCAAAAAAGAAAGATATTCGACCGTTGCGTTCCGCCCGTCCGTTTCTTTCTTTGATTTACTACTAGCGTAACAGATTTTTAAAAAATTCAAAATTCGGACACTGAACTTTCTCCAAATTTCAATCCCTCCGGTAACAACTTTCCGGTAAACAACTGAACAAGGACAGTGAGAAATATTTCCGTCTCGGAATCCGATGGATGAACCAACGGCAACGGCCGCAATCCATGAGTTATACGAGTTCTCGGCACCGTGTTTTTTCGATTTCATGAAAGGAGAATCGGAAGAAAAAAGGCGTAATGCCGAGCTCTGGTTCGAAACCGCATTAAGCTACGCCCCTTCTAGTATGTTCTTTCTCTCTCATTAGTCTTTACTATTTCTTTATTTGTATTAACCGTTAAATCAACAGAATCAAATCATCCTTCACTCTTTGAATAAATCTTTTCTCTGTAACGGTATCTTTTCGATCGGAGATTCTTGAATTTTCTTGGAATTTTTTATGTGATTTAATAAGTAATGACTTCCGATTTGAACTTTTTTTATTTTAAGTGTCCATTACTGAAATTTATATCCCGAAATTCTAGGATTCGTGGTCCTCTTTGTTGCTTAGATATGATTTTAATTGTTTGATTGCTTAGATCTGATGGAGGAAGAAAAAGAAATAGTGATGTAATTAAGAATAACCTACTTATTTTTGTTCTTCCCAAAATATTCACTTCAAATGAATTAAGCATGACCTAAATTAGGTTAGTTTTTGACGGTATGAAGTGTAATTTTTGTCACCTACTAAAACTGCTGCATTTTCGCACGAGGAAACTGGAGATTTCAAGGATGTGAAGTGTAAATTTAATCGTCAACTAAAATTGTTGCATTCTTATCGAGGAGAAAACTGGGAATTTTTAATTTCCTTCTGGTTTTTTTTTATCATAATGCAGCTTTTATGGATAGAATCAAGGCTGCTAGTAGATCCTTTCATGTGGAGGGTCTCTGCATTTTTAGTGAAGAAGATCGAATGCAGAAGGTAAGAATTACCTTGTATACTTTTACTAGTCAACTAAGCAACTGGTGCAAGGTCAAATGACTTGCGATGATTTTATTTTTATATATGCCCATGCCCTTACTGAATTTCAATATCTTAGAAAGCAACTTTGTCTCATTTCAATCACGATGGTATATATATATATTACTGTTGCAGGCATCTGAATCGTCGGGTGCAACAACTTCTAGCAGTAATTCAGAAGATAAGCCTCAAGCCATGTTTGTGCCTGATAAAGTAAAGGAAGAAGTTAAACCCTCTGAGGCAAAGGTTGAAATAAAATCAGATTGTCACTGAGGTTATTAGTGGACTTTTTGTTTTTCATCCATTTTGGTTATTGATTAGTTTTCGTGTATCATCATGCAGATTGCTAATGATGATAAAAATAAGGAGAACATAGGGACTGTACGTTGTCAAGAAAATGGAAGGTTAGTTCTTAGGCTTTTTGAAGAAAACAAATCAACACTAACTGAGTTCTGTATGAATACTTTGATTCTCGTTATTGTGTTTTTGGTTCCTTGCTGTTGAATTTTCAGTGCATCAAATTTAAATGTTCCCGGTGATGAAGAGAAATGCAAGTCTACTGGGCAAGTACAAACTGAAGCTTGCACCCCTAAACCATTGATGAATTCTCTGAAGAAACTGGTGAGCGACAAGAAGCATCAGGCAGCTAAAAAGATAGTCAGTAATATACGGAACCTGTCAGTGTTGAAACCAAAGATCGGCTGTGCTGGAGCTTCTAATTTGGCTCTAGAAAACCAAGCCATTAAACGTCAGAAACTAGATGGTGGAAGATCTAGACAGGTGCTTATATGATCTTCCCCTTTGCATGTTTTTACTTCTGTCTTTCTGTAACTTTAATCTTAAGTTTTGTATTTTTGTTTCTTCCCTCTCTGTATATCAGATTCTCAATGTGAAGCCCCACAAGTCAAAACTTGGTCTTACAAGTGGGAGTTCCAACTTGAGCTTCTCTGATGCTAAAACTTTTAACAAATCGGAAAGAAAGGTTTTTTTCAATGTGATAAGTTCAACCATTCCATATTTTCACAAACAATTGTGAACTAGTATTGAAGTTTGGTTTGTGTTTTCCTTGAAGGTTTATGTTCAAGAACAAGCAGCACCATTCGTTTCAATGGCAGAAATGATGAACAAATTCCAATCCTATACCAGAGATTTGTCACTTCCTCACAGTTCTTTGTCAAATGTAAATAAACAGAATCACATCATTTTGGCTCCAACATGTCCTTGTTTCCTTTCTTCTTTCACCAAATTCCTTCTAACTAATCGGTATAATGCTACTATTGTCCAGTTGCCAACGCTCAAATTGACAAGGCCTAAAGAACCTGAATACGAAACGGCACAGAGAATGCGCCCAGTTAGAGTGAAGAGCACTGCAGAGCTTGAGGAAGAAATGACGGCTAAAATTCCAAAGTTCAAAGCGAGACCATTGAACAAGAAGGTCTAATGCTTATATCATCTGGTTTATGTGTATCAAATTGATATTTCTCTGTTCTTTACTGCTTAATATTTTTCTCTAGTAAGCTTTCTTTAACTTGTTTTTCATATTCTTCCCTGGTACAGATTTTTGAAGCTTCACCTCTAACTTCATTACCTAGAAGTAATCCAAAGCCTCCAGAATTTCAGGTAAACTAGGCCAAGTATATAAGTGGTGGTATGAGATGAAAATGAAGACTGCTTGGTATCAGAGTAAAACAATTGTCCTGTTTCAGGAATTTCATTTCTAGAGCAAGTAAGAAAGTGGAGATGTCTTCAGTAACTTCAACAGAAGTGTTTCGTCAGGTTCGGAGAACTATATCCCATATATTTGATTCATTTTCACTAGGAACAGCTCTCTTACCTTTCTCTCTTTTTCCCTGTAACAGAATAATCAGTGGGAACCTCGTCTCACAGAACCTAAATCCCCTGTGCTTCAAACATCTTTGAGGGCAAAACCTCCAAAGGTCAAAAGTTCTATTGAACTTGAGCAGGAGGAACTTGAAAAAGCACCTAAATTTAAAGCAAGGCCATTGAATAAAAAGGTACTTTCTCCAGCATTTCTATTCTCCATTGTATAATACAGCAACCAATAACCACCCTGTTTACTTGAGAAAGTAACTCTAGTTGTTTCATTGCGTAGATATTTGAGAGCAAAGGAGAACTAGGAATCAACTGTAATGCAAAGAAACAGGTGACTATACCTCAAGAATTCCATTTTGCCACACATGAAAGGATACCACCACCAGTAGCAGTTTTTGATTTATTTGGTAAGGTAATTATACAAATGCACCAACTAGTCATTATACTACTGATTTGAGCATGTGAATTCTGGGAGAAACACTCTTTACATGTTTGTTCCGTTCACAGCTGTCTCTGAATTCAAAATATAGCCATGATTTCGTTCCCTGAAACACCGTTCCAAATCCATTCCATCTCCACACAGAGGTACACTTCTTTTTTTAATGGCATAATACCTAAAAAGATACACAGAGTTCAGTATTTCATCGAGTCTCAAATGATCTTCAGGAAAGAGGAGGTAAAAAAGAACAGTTCATGATGGAGAGTATAGAGAAGCAGTTAGAAGAGGAGAGATCCAGGGTCCCCAAGGCTAACCCATATCCATTCACCACTCACTATCCTGTGGTATGTTAAATTCTTTGTGCTTTCATTTTAATGAGTTAGTCATCAGTTACAGAGGGTAAAGTATGTTTTTCTTACGCAGATCCCTCCGAAACCCGAACCAAAGCAGTGTACGAAACCAGAGCCCTTCCAATTGGAGAGTCTGGCGAGGCACGAGGAGGAGATGAGAAGAGAGATGGAAGAAAGAGAGAAAAAGCAGAAAGAAGAAGCTCAGATGAGGGTCTTCAAGGCTCAGCCTGTTCTAAAAGAGTAAGATTCATCCAAATTTTATCTTGGTTTCTGTAACGACACTGAAAGAGGACAATACATTCCCGTATTCAGTACGATGCAATCATAGTTTCTATTTACAAAAAAAGATGTTAAATCCCTTTCTTATATGCAGGGATCCAATTCCTGTTCCTGAAAAAGTTCGCAAGCCTCTAACACGAGTGCGAGAATTCGACCTCCATGTCAATCATACAGCAGTTGCTAGAGCCGAATTCGATCAAAAAGTAAATTTTAGTTTCTTGCTCATGGAAGATTATATTTCCATTCAATGAGCATTCTTATAATGAATCTCATTTTACAGATTAAAGAGAAAGAAATGATTTACAAGAGATGCAGAGAGGATGCCGAGGTTGCTCGAATGGTATGCACATTTATTTTTTGTCTTAAATTCCTGTTGTGTGAATTAAAACATAATGTTTTAAAATTCTATTGCCAGATTGAGGAAGAGAAAGCATTGAAGCAACTAAGAAGGACAATGGTTCCCCATGCTAGGCCTCTTCCGACGTTTGATCATCCTTTCTGCCCTCAAAAGTAAGAAAATTACTTGGCAATTAGTGTATTTTATCGTATTACAAGTTTGTTCGAGTTGAGACGTTAATGTTTCGCTCGGAGACGTTTGTACATTCGTGTTTTGTCCGTGTGTTGATGGTGCATGATCTGGCCAGGTCTTCCAAGGAAACAACAAAACCAAAATTGCCACACATCTACGAGTTCTCTAAAGAATAGAAAGGAAGAAAACAATCAGGTCGCTAGACACAACAGCTTCCAGTCCGGCCACTCTTATGAGATGATTCCGGTTTCAGGAAAACAAAATCAGGCAGGCGCCGTCATCATTGAGGGGGTTGTTCAAGAACTTTTGAACCCCTTGTGAAACAACTCGAGACCAGCCACCATTAACCGTAACCATGTATGTACAATTCTTGTTAAAAAGCAAAAGACACCAAATCATTCTTTGTTACAAAAAATGTATGAAGTTCTTCTACTCGGAATGAAAATATATGCATTTGGCTATTTTAACATGGATACAAAAATTGTCAGATTTATTTCTCGTCTCGCACCTTATATTACATGTTTTAATTTCTTCATTAAATTCTTAAAGGATAACTTCTTGTCTTAGTTTCTCAAATTTAAATATAAAACAATTCAAAATGAAAATTGAACTTGTTTAAAAAAATAATCTTAAAATTAATTTAAAAGAATTTAAATCTGAATTAACTTAAAGTTGGGTGATTTCCACGGTGTATGCAAATAAAGAATATTATAAAAAGGAAATGAAACAACAGCCTTTGGAGGGCAAGAGAGCGTGCGAAAGTAGCCGTTAGAAACAAACCTCATTACAAGTAACCAAATTGGTCACAAAACCCGACCGTTAGAACAACTTCCTCAAAATTCAAAAAGAAAAAATCCGACCGTTGCTCGCTCTCCCGTCTTTAATTTTAGTACTACCATAACAGATTCCCAAGAATTCCATAATCGGACACTGAAGAAAATCCCTTTACCCCCCCCCCTCCAAACCGAATTTCAACCCCCCTCCTTCTCCAAGTAGAACAGTGAGAAAAAATTCACCTAAAAAGGAATCTGATGAACGGATCAAGCATTACCACTGCTGCGACTGTGATCGACGCGCTATACGAGTTCTCGGCGCCGTGTTTCTTCGATTTCATCAAAGAAGAGTCTGAAGATGAAGCGCGCACTGCCGAGCTCTGGTTTGAAACCGCCTTGACCTACGCTCCTTCTCGTATGCTCTTTCCACCGTATTTCTTTCTTTTGAATTTTTCTTTTTCTCTGTGACGGTATCGTTTTGAACAGTGGTTCTTGATTTTTCTTGGAATTTTCAGAGTTTTGATTTAATAATTGGTGACTTTTGATTTTAACTTGATTGATCTTTAACTCTTTGTTACTGAATTATATTTCGAGAATTCTAGGGCTCGAGTTACTTGCTTAGATCTGATAGGATAGGGAAAGAAGAGGAAATGTGGTGCAATTTAAGAATAACCTAAATGTTAAATGAATTAGGCTAGTTTTCAAGGATATTGAAAGTAATTCTAATCGAGTAAAACTGTTGCATTATTAATAAGGAAAAGGCTGGAGATTTTCATTTCCTTCTTTTTTTAATCATGATGCAGCTTTTATGGCTAGAATCAAGGCTGGTAGTAGATCCGTTCATGTGGAGAGTCTATGCAATTTTAGTGAAGAAGATCAAATGCATAAGGTTCGAATTATTATATATATATACCCTTACCAAATTTCATCATCTCGTGCAGCAATTTCTTTCATTTCAATCATGAAGAATATACATTATTGTTGCAGGCATCAGAATCATCGGATGCAACAGCTCCTAACAGTAACTTAGAAGATAAGACTCAAGACGAGCTCGTGTCTGATAAAGTAAAGGAAGAAGTTAAACCCATTGAGGCAATGGTTGAAACCAATCAAATTGTCACTGAGGTAATTAGTGGAATTTTTGTTTTTCATCCATTTTGGTTATTGATTAGATTTCATGTGTTCTCATGTTTTAAATGCTTTGCAGATTATTAATGATGATAATAAAGACAAGGAAAACGAAGGGACTGTATGTGCTAAAGAAAATGGAAGGTTTGTTCTTAAGGGTTTGAACTTTGTTTCCAACATTAATTGAGTTAACGAATACTTTGGTTCTCATTATCATGTCTTTGGTTCCTTTCTATTTGGATTTTCAGTGTCCTGAGTGAAAAAACACATTTAAATGTTCCCTGTGATGAAGAGAAAAGCAAATCCGCTGAGCAAGTAGAAACTGAAGCTTGCACTCCTAAACCATTGATGGTTTCTCAGAAAAAACTGGTGAGCTATAAGAAGCATCAGACAGCTAAAAAGATAGCTAGTATGATACGGAACCCGTCAGTGTCGAAGCCGAAAACCAGCAAAGCTGGAACTCCTAATCTGGCTCTAGAAAACCAAGCCATCAAACGTCAGAAACTGGATGGAGGAAGATCTAGACAGGTGCTTATACGCTTCTTCCTCTTTGCATGTTTTATCTACTGTTATTTGTAACTTTTTCTCTGAAGGTTGTCTCTTTGTTGCTTCCCCCTGTACCTCAGATACTAAACGTGAAACCCCATAACTTGCTTCACAAGTCGAAACTTGGTCTTACCAGTAGCAGTTCCAACTTGAGCTCTTCTACTGCTAAAACTGTAGATAGAAAGGTTTGTTCCTCTGTGATAAGTTCCGCCTTTGCATATTTTCACTAACAATTGTAAATCAATATTGAAATTTGGTTTGTGCTTTCCTTGAAGGTTTATGTTCGAGAAAAAGCAGCACCATTTGTTTCAATGGCAGAAATGATGAAAAAGTTCCAATCATCTACCAGAGATTTGTCACTCCCTCACAGTTCCTCATTAAATGTAAATAAACAGAATCGCATCATTTTTGCTCCAACAAGGATTCGGTTCCTAGCGTGTCCTTGTTTGCTTTATTCTTTCACTACATTCCTTCTAACTAATCAGGATAATAATGCTGCTACTATCCAGATGCCACCGCTCAAATTGACAAGACCTAAAGAGCCTGAATTCGAAACAGCACAGAGAATGCGCCCAGTTAGAGTGAAGAGCACCGCAGAGCTTGAGGAAGAAATGATGGCTAAAATTCCGAAGTTCAAAGCAAGACCATTGAACAAGAAGGTATTGCTTATTATACCATTTGATTTATGTTTATCAAACTGATCCCTCTTTGGTTTATCAAACTTGACCAAGTCTATTTTTCTCTCCGGTGCAGATTTTTGAAGCTCCACCACTACCTTCAATACCAAAAAGTACTCCAAAGCCTCCGGAATTTCAGGTAAACTAGACCAAGTATATTAGTGGTGGTATAAGATAGAAACGAAGACAGTTCTTGGCATCAGACTAAAAATTTTGTCCTGATTCAGGAATTTCATTTGGAGACAATGGCTAGAGCAAGTAAGAATGCGGAGACCTCTTCGGTCGCTTCAACAGAAGTGACTCGTCAGGTTTGGGGAACTATCACCCATATATTTGATTCACTTTTCATTTGGAACCCTGAATAGTTACCTTACCTTCTCTATCTTCTTCCATGTAACAGAATGATCAATGGAAACCTCATCTCATGGAACCTAAAGCCCCTGTGCTTCAAACATCTCTGAGGGCAAGGCCTACAAAGGTCAAAAGTTCTATTGAAATCGAGCAAGAGGAACTTGAAAAAGCACCTAAATTTAAAGCAAGGCCATTGAACAAAAAGGTACCTTCTCCATCATTTCATGTCTGCATTACATAATACACAATAACCATCAATGTATACTGGTGAAAGTAACTCTAGTTGCTGCCTTGTGTAGATATTTGAGAGCAAAGGAGAATTGGGAATCTTCTTTAATGCAAAAAAACAGGTGACTATACCTCAAGAGTTCCATTTTGCAACACATGAGAGGGTACCACCACGAGCATCAGTTTTTGATTTATTTGACAAGGTACTTATACAAATGGACCACCAACTAGTTATATTACCCAACTGATTCTTGAGTATATGAATTTTGAGAGAACACGTTTGTTCCTTTTACAGCTTTCTCTGAATTCAGTATCTAGCCATGATCCAATTCCAAGAAAAACCTTTCTCAATCCATTCCATCTCCACACAGAGGTATATTTATTTTCTTATGTTATTCATGAATGGTATAAAACCAGAAAAAGATACGTAGAGTTCAGTATTTTATCAAGTCCCAAATGTTCTGACTTCAGGAAAGAGGTGATGAAAAAGAAAAGAAGTTTGTGATGGAAGTTATAGAGAAGCACTTTGAAGAGGAAAGAGTCAGGGTCCCCAAGGCTAACCCATATCCATACACCACTGACTACCCTGAGGTATGTTAATTTAATGCTTTCATTTTAATGTTTATAGTCAATCATGAGTTACTGAGGGTTTTTAAATGTGTGTTTTTTCTGATGCAGATTCCTCAGAAACCCGAACCGAAGCAGTGTACAAAACCAGAACCCTTCCAATTGGAGAGCCTGGTGAGGCACGAGGAGGAGATGAAAAGAGAGATGGAAGAAAGAAAGAGAAAGGAGAAAGAAGAAGCTCAGATGAGGGTCTTCAAGGCTCAGCCGGTTCTAAAAGAGTAATACTCCTCCACAAGTGCAAGCATCATTTATACCTTCTCGTTGTTGTCAGCACGACGCTCTAACAATCCTCTCTTTTCTTGCAATCTTATGCAGGGATCCAATTCCTGTTCTTGAAAAATCTCGCAAGCCTCTAACACAAGTGCAACAATTCGACCTCCATGTCAATCATAGAGCGGTGGAGAGAGCAGAATTCGATCAAAAAGTACATTCTAGTCCTTCTTTCTCTCTATTTGAAGTATATTTATATTTCCATTCAATAAATGATTTTGTTTTTTGTTCTAATAGATTAAAGAGAAGGAAATGATTTACAAGAGATACAGAGAGGAGAGTGAGGCTGCTATAATGGTATGCACATCTAGTCTTTGTCCTAAACTTGCGTTGTGGATTCGAGTTCTCGGTTTGCATGTTGTTGAGAATTAAAACATAATGTTATAAAACTCCATTTCCAGATTAGGGAAGAGAAGGCATTGAAGCAACTGAGAAGGACAATGGTTCCCCATGCTAGGCCTCTTCCCAAGTTCGATCATCCTTTCTGCCCTCAAAAGTAAGAGAAAAAAAATGCTTTGGGATGTTTGTATAAACTGCGTTTGTGTTCATGTCCTGATGGTGTATGGCTTTGGGATGTTTGTATAAACTGCGTTTGTGTTCATGTCCTGATGGTGTATGGATTTGGTCAGGTCTTCCAAGGTGACAACAAAACCGAAATCACCACGCCTACGAGTTCTCCAAAGAATCGAACGGAAGAAAACGATCGGTTCACTCACCGCTCCGACTTCCAGTCTGGCCACTCTTATGAGGTGATTTCGGTTTCTGGAAATACCATCCCGGGCCGCCACCCGAAGTGGTTGTTCAAGAACTTTTGAACCCCTTGTGCTACCACTATGTACAATTTTTGAACTCGTACTGTGGACAATGTATTTGCAAATAGTAATTGGATTAGATATTTGTATATATTCGACCCGTCAATTATTATTCAATGCAATTGATGTAGAATCAAATCACATTAGTAACCTTTATATATAAAAATTATTATTATAAAATAATAATTGAAGGTTATTCAATTATTATTCAATTAATATTTTTATTTAAAAAATTAATTTAATCAAAAGTGAAAATTGAAGGTTAAACACTTTATATAAAATAATATATTTATTAAAATTTATTCAATAAATGAAATATAAATGTGAGTGGTAAAAGATTTATATATATTTTTAAATTTTAAATAATGATTTTTAATTGTCTTATTTAAAAAATAAGAAAAATGAAAAGATGAGAAAACAGTTTTTTAATACTATTAAATATTATTTATAGAAATTATATTTAAATTAATTTTTAATTAAATTTAAATATTTGATTAACTCTTGATATTATTCCAACAATCTTTTTAAATTGGATAAATTACAAAATTTATCACTGAATTTTACTCTTTCTCCTGTATTGCTCATCGAACTTTAAAAATCTTCAATTTTTTTCACTGAACTTAATATAATAGGTTTTTTTGGTCACTTGACCGTTAAATAGTTAAAGACGTTAAAGCGACACCATTTTTAGAAAATAAAGTTTTCACCAAAACGATGTTGTTTTGCATCTAAATAATAGCCTATTTATAATGCTGTAATGAGAAAACGATTGAGTGACCCAAAAAAACCTAATGTATTAAGTTTATTAAAAATATTAAAAAAATAAATACATAAATAAAATAAAAAATAAAATTCAATCACCAAATTTGTAACACACTTTTAAATTAGTAGAGATAATATTATAAAAAGAGAGATTCTAAAATAGCGATCCAACACAAGTACAGAAACGCAAGTAGAAGACGAACGGCAGAGTAGTAATCCCAAATTTGTTTGATGAAGGTTCTAGAATTTAAGATTATTAAACGCCAAGTGGCAACGCACCGTTTGATGCGTTTAGGCCGTCAGACGCTTGGGTGGAGCTCTTCGTTATTTTCCGCCTTCTAGAATTTCGTACCCATTACACTACACCTTAATTATTGTTATAATTTTTATTTTTTAAAAAAAATCAAATTTAAATCCTTCTAGAGAAAATCGTTAGTTGAATTCAACTTTGCCTCTTGTTTCATTTTTTTTTAATATTAATATGATATAACTTCAAATTTGTTTTAAATGTTTTTTAAAAATTAATGTTAATTTTTTTGGGTAAACTACGCATTCAGTACTTAAACTATCACTTTTGATCCGTTTTAACACTTAAACTTTTAGTTTTTCAAAATCATTCCTAAAGTTCAGTTTTTTATTTATTTTTAGTACCAAAACTTAAGTGTTGATAAAAAGAAAAAGTTTAGGTACCAAAACATGTTTAGTACCTAAACCATACTTAAGTTTTGAAAAAGAATGAAAGTTTATGAGCCAAAATGAACCAAAACTGATAGTTTTGGTACTAAAATGAAACAAAACAAAATGTTAGGTATAATTTTAAAAAAAATTGAAAGTTTAAGTACTAAAATGGATTAAAATTAATAATTTAGGTATTAAATACACAATTTATTCTTTTATTTATTTATTTTTAACTGTCTCTAACAAAACATACGTCTATCAAAGGAAAGCAGTTTTTCTTTGATAGAATTGAAAATCTAAATCGATTATTGTGAACCCATCGAACGTTTTCATTAATAAAATGAAATATTAATTTATCAAGATCTCAAGTCTATATAGATACGTTTATAAGGTAAGTATGTATCGTAAATTACTCATAATCACCTTGAACTCTCTCAAATAAATAAATAAATCCTTATTTTAACAAATTAAGTTTTATTAAACGAACGAGAAACGTCTGATTCCAGACATGTAGATCATGGGAACTTATGTTTGTCTTCTTTTGATTGTCATTTTATTATGTGATCATAATACACACGTGTATTTATGTTAAAAGTTTGCTTAATAGTAACTTAATTTTTGCATAAACCGAGTTACTTCATTTGTTCAATAAATAATTATTATTCTTAAAGATTTCAAATTCGAACTTAAAAAATTATAAAATGTTTAAATTTTTATTTTCAAATAATTGAAAATATTCAAAACATACACTATCTTATAATCGTCTTATATTAATAAAAAATAATGTCTTAATTTTCTAAATTTTTTTAACCAACATTGAGACATTGACATAATTTGTCATAATGGGCCACTAACAAGTGGAAAAGATCAAAAACAAATTGATTAAGTGAATAGTTTATGCCACTTGTCTAAGATAATGTTCCATAAATTTATGGAATTTGGAAAAGTCTTTTAAGTCATCTTTTATTGAAAGGTGACATTATATTATATTAAATTAATAAACATTTAAAACTAAAATGTGCCATTATATCATTAGAACATAGTTGTTAAACTCTAATTATACTATTATCATTTTTTTATTAAATTAAAAGTGATCATAAAATAGTATATGTTTAAATATTTTCAATTAATTTACAATGATTGTACAATCTCCCTTGCAGTCGTTGGTGTTTAAACTCATAATCTCTAGAAACAACAATGATTCTTTTTAACTACTGAAATAAATTGATTAGTACATATTCATTGTGAAAATTATATTTTGAAAAGTATAACGATGTGTATTAAAACGTTGCACTCAAATATTTAGTTCCTATTTCAAGGACTTAAATGAAAATTATTACAGATTTTAAAAGCTTGTGGGATACGTGAATGCATGAGATATAGTATTAATTATTAAATAGATGCATGTAGGCTTTTCATATCTTAAACTTTCATAAATTTTTTTGTTTACCCAAATTTAATCAAAGCATTATATCATCTCTTTGTATCGAATTTAAGAAAGTATTTTCCGTGGGTAATTATGTATTCGACCTCATTTTTATTCGATAAAATAAGAATCTAACCAAAAATATAGAGAAAAAATAGTATTGTAATTTTCACCATAAACTCAAATTTATCCTAAAAAATTAAACCATTCTCTCAAAAAATATCTTATAAAATCATATCAATGGAAAACATCAAATGTAATATTAGGTAAAAAAAATCGCATCAAGTCGGTTTGGTTTGATCTAAATTTAATTAAAATAATTAAAGAATCATTAAACTTTAATAAATGTTTGTACAAAATTTTGTTTTAAAAGACATCTTATTGATAAAATAAATGTTACATCAAATCAACTTAAATAACAGTTCAGAATCGAATCGCAACATAGCCCAGTCTACTGATGAGGTGTAATACAAATTTATTAATATATTACATTTTATATGATATAAATTATTAGGATATTAAATTTTATATAGATAAAAACCACTTTTATGAAAATTAATTTGGAATTCTTCTATTTTATGTGTGTTTTTATATATTTATAATTCATAATAAAACTTTTTAAAACGTCTGTATTTTATTTTTGTTCCATATTTATATTATATTTTAGATGATATTTTAATTATTTTTATCAAGTCTTGCTCATCGCATATGGTGTCATTCATGATACCTTGCATTTAATGTATAGCCACGTGGACCCACGAAGGGTCATATGAATTATGGGTGTTTAAAAAATGTATTTCATCTAACAGATTAATTAATCGAATCAATAATACTAAACAAATTCGGTTAACTAAATCGTTAAAAATAATGATTAACGATTAAAGTTTCAATTACGAATTTTAATAAACGGTTCAGAAACAGTTAATCAATAATAAACTAAATTTATAATTATATTTTTTTGAAAGAAAAATACTTATAGAATTAGAAGTAAATTTTAGCTCTATTCCTAAAATTTATCGGACAGTTTTTAATTTCACAATTTCACTCATTGTCCACTCTCCAACAAAACTAGTCTCACTACAAAATGTTTGTTAAAGACTTATCTTTAAAACTTTGATGGTATATTGAACCATTAGTAAAATATTTACATGAAAATTTATAAAAAATAATTTTCTATTATTATTAATTTATACATTTTTAATAAAATTTGTACACAAATAACTTAATATATTTTATATTATTTTAATTTTTTTATTTCTTTAAAAATATAGAAACATGCTTATACTAATATAATTATGTATTTATTGTTAGGTACTAAAATACTAAGAGATATACTTACTTATATTAGTGTAAATATATGTTAATTGTTATATATTTTTTATTTTATTCATTTACATTAATATAAATGTAACTATGTTTTTATAGTATGAATTATAAAACTTTAAAACAATTAGGGTTGCTACGGTACACTAACGGATGTGATATGTAGTTTGTTGTACTTTGAGTGGGCATAGATGAGGATTGAATAATAGAGTGGTTGATTATCTGAATCATGAGATTTCGATATGAGAGAAGGTATTTTCAAGACCGTCATCGTATATAATTGGGATACTACAAATGAATTGATTACTCATAATTTAATTATTCTTATTTAATGTTTGAAAAAAAAATATGTTTAAATCTACATAAACCCTAAACCCTAAACCCTAACCAATAACAAATTCTTAACTAAAATTTTTAAGATCCATTTATAAGATCAATGATTAATATAACTACCTTTCTTCTTCTTTTCTATAGCCATAGCTAACTTCTTATTTTTACTCCTATAGTTTAAGGACGTAAATATAATTCTAATTTATTAATCTACTAATTATTAATTACTATAAAATTTATTAATTTTACATAATATAATTGAATTTTACGTGAACGAATTATATAAATATATTCCAAATTAAGGGTGAATGGTCCTTTTTCCCGAACATGCATTATTTCTTGGAGGGCACAGACAAGGAAAATTCTCAGTCCAAAATTTGACCGATTAAGTGGTGCTTAATTAAACAAATTATTAATTTATTTATTTCTTCTAGAGAAGTAAAAAAGAGAACCGATGTTGAAAAGTATTTGAATAATAATAACAAGACTTAATTGCATCATACATCCCAAACTAAGATCATCATTCTAAATTACTCTTTAAACGTTTGAACATTTTAATTTCATCCCCAAATTATGATCATCATTCTAAACTTGTCCTTAAAGTTTTGAATATTCCAAATTCATCCCCAAACTACGACCTCATTCTATATTGGTCCATAAACTTTTGAATTCTCTATTTTCATCCCTAAACTTTTGAATGATTAAGGGGGATGTTATTGGAATGCTCAAAAGTTTAGGGACCAATTTAGAACGAGAGTCATAGTTTGAGTATGAAATTGAAATGTTCAAAAGTTTAGGGACCAATTTAGAATGTGAGTCATAATTTGAGGATGATATTGGAATGTTTAGAAATTTAGGGATCAATTTATAGTAGGAGTTATAGTTTGAGGATGTATGATACAATTAACTCTAACAAATAATAATAATAATAATAAGGTTTATTATACAAATTCAAAAATAAAGGTTATAATTTTATTCAAATTGATATTAATTTTTTAATTAAATATTTAAAATTATAAAAATATTAATATTTGAACTTGAATTATACTTCAATAATAAATAATATTTTAACACGTAACATTTTACGATGTTAATATCTCAATGAGATTAGTGACATTTTTAGTAGTTAAAGGAACATATCAATATAAGTATCAATTTGAGAAAGTTTTTTCATATTCATATACTAACTGAAGACCCAAAAAAAATACAAATTTGTTAAAACAACTCAATCCAAAAAATATTTTCTTTATAGTCTATATTCATTATTCTATAAAATTAATAACTATTATTATTTAAAAAATTAAAATTTAAAAATAAACATTAAATTGTCCCAAATATTCCTTTTATACATTAAACTTATAAAAATTATAAATCAAATATTAAACTCTAGATTTTATTACAAAATGAACACTAAAATATTAAGTATAGTTTATTACCACCCAAGGACGGATCAAGAGCCCCTCCCAAAATATTTTATTTAATAACAATTTAGATATTTATCTGTTTAAATTTAAGTAAAATTAGACTTTTGTTTTTTTTTTTAATTTTTAAATTAAATACATAATAAATTTTTATTATTTTAAACTTTAATTTTTACCCCTCTTAATATTTAATCTTGACTCCATCCATGTTGCCACCACACAATGTTAGTAGACATCAGATTAATTATCTAATGAATGATACTTTGTATACTTCTAAGAAAGTTCAAAATTTTTATCTAAAAGATTTTAATAAAATTAAATAAGAAATAAGATATAAATATTTTATCAAAAAGATGTTTTTGAAACACTAATGTGTGAGTTAACGAGTGACATCAGCTTATTTATAATTTTCCCCTCTTAATTCTAAGGTAAAGGACCGACTCGTGTTATACATCTAGTTTTGGTGAGTGAGTTTCCTAGCATGGATTTTCTGTATACACAAAGACACAAACTCTAGACTTTACTTAAACGGTATCAAATTGCTTACTACTTGAACCACCACTTGTTGATAACTTGTTTATAAATTTAATATAACATTAATTATTACTTTAATATTTTGAAGCGTTTTTTGTTGCTCGTCTCTGTATATAAAAGCAGAGCCGGATACCTCTTCGCTCTCCATAGATTCTCCCGTTTCTTTTTCCATTAAGCTTTCAATCAAGTTCATCAGACTCTCATCTGAGAAAAAGAATCCAGAAAATCTGCTCTCTTGTTACTCAAATTCACGTTAAAGAGACTCGAAAAACCAGCTGGTATGTTACTCAAACTCCGATACGTATAATTACTCCGCGATTGATTCTGTTTTCTTTTTGAGTATGATTTGTTCTTGAATTTGCGAATATCTTTTTTTTTTGCTGGTTGATTTTTGTATCATGATTGATTTTCGAGTGTTCGTTAAGCTTGTTTCATCAAATCTCGTTAGCTTTGGGAGAATTGTTGCTCTTCTAATGATCTCCTCACCTTTCGTTTCTTTTTCTGAATTTTCTAATCTCAAGTGCCTTCGATCTGCAAAAGCCGAAAGAGATTTTGTTTCTTCTTGTTTGTTTATTTTTCGGTCCGGTATGAGTAACCAAAATTGAAATATAATTCATTACTTCTTCTATGTAAGTAAATTGAAAGGAATAGTCGTATCTGATTCATTTAGTAAGAATGAAGTCATAAAAGAACATGGAAAGTTTTTTAACTTGTATATAAATTTTGTGTTCATATAACAAAGTTCTTAATTTCAGAACAATATGTTAATTGAATCGTTAATTTTATTGATTTGCATGTTTGTCACGTTTAGATATATCCACGAAAATCTGAACCGTCAAATTGATTTGATATGCTTGGTGGCTGTGTTTTCCATGAAAATATTATCTCTTAAAATTTGAGTCAACGAAGTTAGGCTGTGTTTCAAGAATTTATGCAGTAGGCTAGATTTTCTAAATACCACCAACTACTCGATGAAAAGTCAATAATTATTTTTTTTACAAGTTCTTCGTTAATCAAGGTCGGAGATTGATACGATATTGGCTCTTTGATGTTCGAGTCGGTACGTACACGAGTTAAGCATAAAGCAAAAGCTAAAAAAGAGCTAATATCGGAACAACCTCCGGCCTCCGGCCTTCGACATGAAACATTAATCATAAGATATATAATACCTTCGGTTGAGTTGAATATGTTCTTATGATTCTAATCTGATTTCCTTTCCACTTATATTGCAGATTTTGTCTGTAGATCATGGCTATCGAGCAGTACATCGGGGAAGCCGGACTTCAAAACCGTTTACTAGAAGGTAAAAAATCGATGGAGAAGTGGATGAGTTCGCCGGAAGCAATCACGGATCCTGAAGATAATTCCTCGGCTGGTTTTGACTGCAACATCTGCCTCGATACCGTGCAGGATCCTGTAGTGACGCTATGCGGTCACATATATTGCTGGCCCTGCATTTACAAATGGCTTCAATTTCAGTCCAACTCCGCCGAAAACCAAGACCAGAAGCCGCCGCAATGCCCTGTATGCAAAGCCGAAGTTTCCGATTCGACACTTGTACCGCTTTATGGTCGAGGTCGGACAAGCAAGGCATCGAAAAGCAAGTCTCCCCAACTTGGCATAGTCATCCCTAAGAGACCTCTCGGCCCTGATCTTGGCACACCAAGAACACCTAATACTGCAAGTACTCCACAATTTGCGCATCAAATACATCACCATCACTACTGTTACTCGTATCAACCGCAAGTGTACAATTATCCATCTTCGCCTATGCTTAGCCCCGGCGGCACGACAATGAGTGTAGTGGATCCGGTGATGCGGATTGTCGGTGAAATGGTACACGCACGGGTATCCGGAGATTCGGTTACAAACTTATATGCACATCCGAATTCTTACAATTTTGTGGGGAGCACTAGCCCTAGGATCAGAAGGCACATAATGCAAGCTGATAAGTCACTGAACAGATTAAGCATTTTCATCTTCTGTTGCTTAATTATATGTCTTCTTTTGTTCTGATCACTTTCAAACCGATTAAACCGAAATATTCGGTTAAACCAGCCGTTTGAACGCCCCAATCTTTGTAAATACGAATTCAGCCTGATGTACTCATAGCATGAGAGATGCCACATCTCCCATGCTGTGTTATTGTTATACATAATTACGAGCTTGATTAAATATATTATGTGTTTTTCGTCAAGATTTTAAATCACTCGTATGTATAATGTAACTTGTTTAGGGTGGCTTACAAAACTTGATTCACAGTTCGAGCTTGCTTGTGGGCTTTAATCCCCTTTGTTAAATGGTATAATTATCTTTTTAGGCTCTCTTAAACATTAATAATTCAATTTAATCCTTTTTAACCTATAGTAAAATGAAATTTTCGCAAAGCTGATCCTTCAATTTAAATCATTTTAACATTAAAATTTCAGTTTCAACTCTGTTATTTTTTTAATTTATGTCCAAATATAAAATTCTTTATTTCGTCCCATATCAGTTGCGTAAGTGACGGTAATGAGTCGGATTAAATCGAGTTTTTGATCGATTCGGCCTGAATATTATATACATTTCACCTGACACTCGATCTGAATTTAAGAAAGTTTCACTCGACTCGAAATTTATGATAAAAATATGTATCTGACTCGAATATATAAAATTCTCATTTTTATTACGTAAAATAAGTATCTAATTGAAAATTTATAGAGAGATATTATAGTAAGTATCCCTAAATAATATAGAGAAAAATTATATTATTGTACTGATCAGTTAGAATGCTTCTCATCATAAACTCAAATTCAATCTAATCTCATATTTCACCGATCTCAATCCATTTTTTTATATAAAAAAAACTATCTTATAAAATTGGGTCAAAATTCATCAGATCTAAATCAAATTATTGATCCGAAATTGCCTCAACATATAAAGACAAACATCACTTTCAATTCACTGTTACATAGGCTTGTTATTAACTACCAAGTTAGGAGAGTTGGGAAAAAATGGTGGTGGGATTAAGCAAAGGCTGCTAGATGTTGCATTCTTATCTGTAAAGGGTCAATATTGATCAATCTATGGAGAAGAATAGGTCAACTTTTTGCATATGAATAAAATAAAATATATCAAATTAATTTAATTAAATAAGTATTTAACGAAAAATAAAAATATATTACATTTTAAAGAAAAAATTTATACTTTTTTATTATTAAAAAAAGTAAAAAAATTATATTCAAATTTAAAAAATGATATTATTAAAAAAAAATAATCACTAACTTTAAACAGGTTTGTGAATATATATATATAGGGACAGAGTTCCCTTAGGACACAAAAAGGTCTCGATCCCTGTAAAAATTTATATATTCAATAAAATTTGGTCTTCTATTATTTTGGTTAATGTAAAAAATAAATATTCAAATTAAAAAATATAAGAATTTATTAAATATTTAATTAAGTAGAAACTGAACTAAAGATGAATAATCTCATGTTCTCAAATTTTTTAGTCTAATAACAATTTAGGTCATTGTAAGTTTAAATATTAGACAAATAGCCATTGTCTTATGAATTTTAAGTTTAAATATCTAATAAGTCATTATATTGTTCTTAAAAAATTTAATATTTTGACCCTGTCAATATTTATCCTGACTCCGTCCATATATATATATATATATTCACGTCTTTATTTCAACATGAATTGTATTTAATACAATAAGCTTATTTGGATTCCTTCATATTTTGGAATGAAAATAAGTGAAGGAAACACCCATTTTTGTAAAGCATTTTGGTCCTTTGTGTATGTCGCAACCGTCTTTCTGTTGGGCCCCGGAATTGGGCTTCGACTTAGGAAAATGGATTGGAGTCGCCACCGATCATTTATTTAAAAATAAATGGGTTGATCGGATACCCTATTTCTTACCTGATCTGCGTCTTACCAGAAATATGTCGGGCTCGGGAGTCGGTTACGGTCAAGGAAGGATTAGCACCCTTGAACCGCCCTTTCGGTACTACGTAATTTCCAATTGTCTTAATTAAGAAAAATAACAAGTTAAATTAAAAGGTAAAATTTCGACCCCAATTACTTACCCTTTATTGATTTGAAAATATCCTTAAAAAATCGAGAAATGTGTTAGATAAACAAGGTAAATAAAACAAATAAGGTAAAAGGGAAAAATAAAATAAATAAAATAAATAAGATAAAGGAAAAAAATAGTAAAGTAATAATTATATATAGTAATATTTGAAAAAGGAAAAATATATATATATATATATATACATCAAAGTATTAAAAATAGAAAAGTTACCCTCTCACTTCACCGAAAGTGAGGGGCTTTAGTCATAAATAAGACAAAAAAATGGATCCTCTAGGTTAGTAATATATAATATAATGTTTAATAATAATAATGATAAAGACACAAGATTTTTTAAAAAATAATATAATAATAATAAATAAAAAACAAAAATAATATATATATATATATATATATAAAGTTATAAGATATATTACGTAAATAAAAAAATAATCAAATAAAAATAATTAAGAATATATATATATTAATAATAGGTATATAAATAAACTATTAAAAGTATAAAAAATATATGACTAGATAAAGATAATTACAATATATATAGTAATAATAGACTTATAAGTAGAATATTAAAGAAATATATATATATATATATATACATATAATAATAATAACATGAATAATAAAAATAAATGAATAAAATATCCATATAATAAATAAAGGGACTAATATAGATTTTTAAAAAGCTCTTCCCATCCTTTAACCGAAAATCAAACCAGATTTTCAAAATAAGCCTCGGGGTAGATCTAGGTTCGAAACTTCGAAACCCTACCCATTTTGGTCATCGGCGCAACCCACGTTTTGGGTTATTCGAACCAAATCTCAAGAAAAATAACGTGCACATGCAAAAGAAAGAAAAAAGAAAATGCTACCTTTTATTTTCTTTTCGAATCCTTTACAATAGCTTTGCCTTTGTATCTTCCCGTGCTTTCCTCTATGTTTTGTGTGTAAATCGTGTGTTACAATGGTGAGTTACAATGGCTATTTATAGTGCTTGTGGATCCTATCTTTAGGAGTTTAAATCATAAAATTTTATCCTATTTTTTGAATCCTAGCAAAATTCTATCATATCTTTAGGAGTTTGAATCCTAAAATTCTATCCTATTTTTAGGAGTTTGAATCCTAGTAGGACGAAAAATGTGTGTTGACAGCTGCCCCTCTTTGCCCATAGTCGTGTAACGGGGATAGGGCAAAGATTAAAAGACACGCTTTTCGTTCAGTGGAGTTGAAAATTAACTCTGATGTTTCAATAACTCCCTGTCGAATTGAGTTACGGATGACTCCTCCATCGTGAAGTCGAGTTCATCTTGAAATGATATGAAATTAAAGTCGTAGTTCGGAATTTAAATCAGCACGTGGCTTCCCGTTACCCTTCGGTCTTCTTCTCGGTTTAAAGACCTTGGATCGGAATAGAATTGAGAAATCTTCATTGACAGATAGCTTTTTCTTGACTTAAGCTATGTTGTTTGAAAATGTTTGCTTGTCACTAAGGCACGGCTAACCCATGTCCTCTCCTCGACTTGAAAACCTCGACTGCAACCGGAAAGTAGTGCGATTGATGTGTCATCGAGCTGAATGGAGTCGAACTCGACAATTTTGATGGCAAATAATCCTTCTTTGAGTTGGATATCCTTCGTCGTGAAGTTGAAATCCAAGTAGGTAGCATTGTTCCAAGTCTAATATCCTCCGTCGTGAAGTTGAAATTGGCTCTGGAACCGGGAAATTGTTTGTTGACAACCAGCCGTCCCTTCGTTGTGAAGTTGAACTTGTGTTGTCTCGAGTCTAATATCCTTCGTTGTGAAGTTGAAATTGAATCTGAATGAAATTTTATTGACAAGCAGCGGTCCCTTCGTCGTGAAGTTGAACTTACGTTGTCTGGAGTCCAATATCCTTCGTTGTGAAGTTGAAATTGGCTCTGAGATTGGGAAGTTGTTGTTGACAAGCAGCGGTCCCTTCGTCGTGAAGTTGAACTTGCTTTGTCTGGAGTCCAATATCCTTCGTTGTGAAGTGGAAATTGGCTCTGAAATTGAGAAGTTGTTGTTGACAAGCAGCGGTCCCTTCGTCGTGAAGTTGAACTTGCGTTGTCTGGAGTCCAATATCCTTCGTTGTGAAGTTGAAATTGGCTCTGAAATTGAGAAGTTGTTGTTGACAAGCAGCGGTCCCTTCGTCGTGAAGTTGAACTTGCGTTGTCTGAAGTCCAATATCCTTCATTGTGAAGTTGAAATTGGCTCTGAAATTGAGAAGTTGTTGTTGACAGGCAGCGGTCCCTTCGTCGTGAAGTTGAACTTGCATTGTCTGGAGTCCAATATCCTTCGTTGTGAAGTTGAAATTGGCTCTGAAATTGAGAAGTTGTTTGTTGACAACCAGCCGTCCCTTCGTTGTGAAGTTGAACTTGTGTTGCCTCGAGTGCCATGATATCCTCCTTCGTGGAGTTGAAATTGCAGATGGCCCCTTCGTTGTGAAGTTGAGCCTTGACTTGAATATCCTTCGTCGTGAAGTTGAAATCCAAGTATTGTATGTTGCGGGTGGACACAATTCCCTTCGCCGTGAAGTTGAAACCGTGGAGACCCCTTTATTGTGAAGTTTGGCTTCGAGCTGGATATCCTTCGTCGTGAAGTTGAAATCCACTCTCGAGCAAATCATGTCGCTTTGAGTTCAATATCCTTCGCCGCGAAGTTGAAATTGACTCTAGCTAAAACCTGAAAAAGTTATGCTTATATGTGATGCTATGGATGCAATGCTCTTAGGTGTGCCTAAAATGCATATGCAACATATGTTATCTTGGGGCTCTGGAGAGAAATCTCGATCTCCAGTTGCCTGTCTGGAATCTTGATTCTTGAATCTTCAAATTTTGATCCCTGATCTTGAATTCTTCAAATGTTCAAATCTGATGTGCACATTCTATTTTTGATTTGAGAAATGCTTCTCGACCATCTCAAGTATGTGCCTGAGCTGAGTGTAACGGTTCAGATGATGCTTCAAAAGAAGTTGTCTTGAAAGAGATAGAATTCGTTTCAAGGG